GGTGACCTTCGAGCCAATCACCAGGAGAGTGGAATTCTAGTTCTGCTTCAGCCACGAAAGCCAGCTGGGTGACCTTCGAGCCAATCACCAGGAGAGTGGAGTTCTAGTTCTGCTTTAGCCACGAAAGCCAGCTGGGTGACCTTCGAGCCAATCACCAGGAGAGTGGGAGTTCTAGTTCTGCGTTAGCCAGCTGGGTGACTTTGGGCCAATCACCAGGAGAGTGGGAGTTCTAGTTCTGCTTTAGCCACGAAAGCCAGCTGGGTGACTTTGGGCCAATCACCAGGAGACAGGGAGTTCTAGTTCTCCGTTAGCCAGCTGGGTGATTTTGAGCCAATCACCAGGAGAGTGGGAGTTGCAGTTCTGCTTTAGCCACAAAAGCCAGCTGGGTGACCTTCGAGCCAATCACCAGGAGAGTGGGAGTTCTAGTTCTGCGTTAGCCAGCTGGGTGACTTTGGGCCAATCTCCAGGTGACTGGGACTTCTAGTTCCACTTTCTCCACGGAAGCCAGCTGGGCGACCCTTCGAGCCAATCCCTCTTTCTCTCATCCCAGCCCACCTCACAAGGAGGAAGAGGGGCCCTCGGTGCTCTCTGAGCGCGATTATTTCCCTGCAGACGTCTTATTACCCAACTAGGTAACGTCATCAGTGCTGGAAGGAAGGGTATTTTTTAAGCTCAGACCTTTTCCGGGGCTATTTCAACCAGAGGGGCATTTGGCGGAGGGCCTGCCGGTTTCAAAACCGCAACCGCATCCCCACAAGCTGACTCGATTCGTCTCCCGGCCCCAGCGACACCCCCACACCCCACCGGTTAGCTTTTCTCCGTCTCCCTGAACCTCCCTTCGGCCCTGCGAGAGTTAACCTTCTCTCTCTCTCCCCCCCCCACCCCGTTGCATTCCAGGCAGCCAAATTTGGCTTCACATCTGGCACCAAGCCCCGAATCCCTCAAAACTCCGGCACAGAAGGAGAACAGGCTCGGGAGAGGCTTCAGCAAAAGCCTTGCTGTGGGGCTAAGAGCCCTCCAGCATTGTGAGCCCGGCCACAGCTGCATTTGGGGGGGGGGCGCTGATTTTTGGTGTACGAACGCCCCCCAATTCCTGGGGCTACGAGTCCAACAGAGTTCACACACCCCAGATTTTGACACCCCCCAATCTTTTGCAGCCATCCCTTATGGTGCATTTTACCACTCCACACACAGCCCAAATTTCCACACTGGATCGAGTTGTGGGGGGGAAAAACAGATGTTGAAATCTGTCGGTTGTCGTGAAAAACCTAATTCCCCCCCCCTCTGCCCTCCTCCCCAGTCTCTGGCTCGGAAATTCCTTCCTCGGAAAAATCTGCTGTAAGAGCCGGGGCGTAGCCGGGGCCAGGCACAGCCCAGGGCGACCTTCGCACAACTGTTAAAAACCACTGGCCAGCTGTTCTTCCTTCTGGGCATATAGGAGAAGTTTTTCCCCCCACCCAACAAGCTTCAAGACAGGTATAGAGGCTGCTTTTTCCCCTATCCGACACTTTGGGGAGGGTGTGTGAGTTTGGGGGTTCGGAGGGAGCGGCCGACACCCTCCCCCCCAAAAAATGGAGCGAGTGGGGTCCAGGCTGTGGGGCTGGTGGACGGCGGCAGAATTAGACGGTTGCGGGATTCTCGCCCCGCCTGGGAAACGTCGTCCCGCTTTGTGTATCTTAATTTTCTGTTGTTGTTGTTTTCTTTCGATCGGTTGCTTTGTTTATGCTAAGAATTCGTAAACAATTTGGGGAGGTGAAGGAATCTAATCCTGTGCTGACGACACCCCCGTGAGGTAGGCTGGGCTGAGAGGGAGGGAGGACTGGTTCAAAGCCACCCCAGCTGGTTTTTAGTGACTATTACAAGGCTAGAACTCCCCGTCTCCTGGTGATTGGCCCAGAGTTATCCAGCTGGCTTTCATGCCTGAGGCGGGACTAGAACTCACCGTCACCTGGTGATTGGCTCAAAGCTACCCAGCTGCCTTTAGTGCCTAAGGCAGGACTAGAACTCCCCGTCTGCTGGTGTTTGGCCCAAAGTCACCCAGCTGCCTTCATGCCTAAGGCGGGACTAGAACTCCCCGTCTCCTGGTGATTGGCCCAAAGTCACCCAGCTCCCTTTCATGCCTACGGCGGGACTAGAACTCCCCGTCTCCTGGTGATTGGCCCAAAGTCACCCAGCTCCCTTTCATGCCTACGGCGGGACTAGAACTCCCCGTCTCCTGGTGATTGGCCCAAAGTCACCCAGCTGCCTTTAGTGCCTAAGGCAGGACTAGAACTCCCCGTCTCCTGGTGATTGGCCCAAAGTCACCCAGCTGCCT